GTTATTATCCGATTTCGCCCATTTTCAATACCATCCGTCCCACGCCCAAAAGAAGTTCACGTACCAAGTTTTGTTAAGATATCTCATTTTTTACTCGAGTTATCGTGTGCACAGACGGACGGACGGACGGACGGACGGACGGACGGACGGACGGACAGACAGTCACCGCTTAATCGATTTCTCTTTTCATTCTGATCATTTATGTATACATTTGTCTATATCTATCTCGATTCGTTTTGCCTGTTACAAACAACCGTTATGTGAACAAAGTTATAATACCCTTGTGCACAAGTGCGCTCGGGTATAAAAAAAGTAAACTTGCAGCAAAACTAAATTCTGTGTCGCTTTGATTTTTTTACGAAACATAAAAGCCGAGCCACTACTGCATACTTATATAATTGACTTGTTAAATGCTGAGTGTGGTAGAAAAACAAATACTGAACATCAGTGCAAGAGAGACCCCAACCCTGAATGCCCAAGATATCTTCGACTCCAAAAAAAAAAAAAACAAAAAAAAAAATACTCATCCAAAGGGGTTTGATCAAAAAGGTCTAATATTAATGTGGCCAAGGTCAGGAAACTATAAATAATGCACTCAAGGACGTAGCCAGGATCTATTGTAGGGGGAGAAGGTTAATAAACCTACACCATTTTTATTTTTTTATTCATCAATTTTCATGCTAGTAACAAATGCCTCGGATTTTCAACAAATTCTGCAATTATTTTCTTCTCAGCCATCTCGCGGTTCTCGTTACTCCCGAAAGTGTTTCCTCTCTTTATTGTCGTTCTTCTGGTTGTGTAGCAGCACTAAACTGAATCACGACTCTTGCGTCCTCGTTCGTGCCAACTGAGCAATGTGAGCAACCATGCGCGAGATGCGGCAAAAAAGTCGTCTGAAGCCTTGGTTCACGCGAAACAATAACTACGCTTTACGAATATGTGCTTGGAATGTGCGGACCGTTCTTAGGAAAGGCGCCTATATCCAACTGCTGGTTTGCTTGGCGGAATACCAGTCTGACATCACTACAGTGCAGGAAATTCGATGGACGCGGCGAAAAATTTTCAGTCTGCGACATCTCTTACAGCTGCCATGGAGTGGAGGCCTCAATAGCTTGTATCCAGGTTCACCTCCATCAGTGAATGAGTTTCTACAATCCGCATGAAAGCCAAACATATTTGGTCCAACAGTCAGAAATTTCAGTTTTTAGGACAACACCTCCAACAACCAGGAGAGGCTTTTCGACTACGCCGCAGAACGGAATACTTATTATAGTTATTTAGTAGCATCGAAACATCCATACAACCATTTGGGTGTATCCTGATTAAAGACGAAAAACAAAACTGACAACGTTGTGATAAGCGTGAAAACCTACAGTCACAAACGATACCCAAGAACTTTCGCAATTGACTCTAAATCCTGTTTATACAAAAATCTTTTCACCGATCGGATTTAAATCAGCAGTGGGGATTGATCATTTGAAGTCAGCCTGCAGCCAATTCTGACGCGCGCAAAGGAAGGAAAGAGATTGCTATTTTTAGAAAAACAGAAAGTGAGGCAGAAGGTGATGAATCGGAGTATATTTAGATGCTGACAGGCAGGAAAGCGACGTGAAAATTTTATCAGAGAATAAGAAAAGGAACACAGGTGGCAGATTTGACGAAGAGGAACGCTGCGCTTGCTTCAACGCATCAACGTAGATAAACAGAGAGCATGGTTGGTTGATTGGTTCGAGTGGATTGTCACCCTGATGGCAAGCAATTAGCAAGTTTGCTATTTTGATTCCACAACTCGTGCAACCGAAAGCCATTTGGCGGCTTTAATAAATTTCAGTACGTCATACAGAGAGAGGCAGCTGCACTCTGAAATATTCTGCAGGAATGGTTTGCCGAGTGTCTTTAATCTCATCGACTGTTCGACTGTCTCTTTTGAGCCCGGGTCATCGCAGCTGCGGCAGAACCTATTGACGGGCAGTCCTATCCTTTATCCGTTATGTAAGCTGTAGGGGTGGGGTAAGCTGCCTCCTGTCCCTGTCTGGCTACGCCCTTGAATCTGGTGTGGAGCTTCATTGCCAAACCGCCTTTCAGAAAGAACTGTCCTAGTAGCGTTGGAATTCTCAAAAGCCTTAAACATTGTTTGTAACTCCACGCTATTTGAGGACAATGAGAAATCCAAACTTCCACAAGAATTAAAACTATGAAAGGCCTATTACATACATATCTGAGTGGTCGACGATCATCTGCAAACTTCCGAGATAAAACCTTGAACCCAAAAAGATTAAGCAGGTTTCACATGCGGTGGTGTCGTCTCACAACAACTGTTTAACTTCTAGATCTAGAAACTTCCGCAACCACACACAGGGGTTTCGATAATATCATACTCTGACGACACAGTATTGGAGGTATAATTATATTCTGGTTTTTGGAAGATAAGAAGGACAATTTACCTTTAATTTCGAATACACTCCAATTAAGTAAATAGTGCATATATTCTTTCTATATAAATTAGAGGAAAGGGATGATAAATAGTGATAAAAAACATATAACAATAAAATGAAGTAATAAGATTTAACCATTTCAGGCCTCGACCCGCCACTGCCACTCTTCGAATCGGATAGCGGTAATCGTCATTTGACTCACACAGATGCGCGCTTTGTCGACATTATACACACCGATGGCGGTATACTCGGCAATCCGGATGCAATGGGTCATGCAGATTTCTATCCAAATGGCGGACGACCATTACAACCAGGCTGTGCTAGGCAAGAAATAGCTAACAATCGCTGGTTAGGCATACTAAGTGAGTGGTGGCGGGGATCTTTGATATTTGCTATGCTTGTCTATTTCTATTCTAATTTAAACGTATGCTCTTTCTCGTTTTTCAAGTTGGTTGCAGCCATCAGCGCGCATGGGAGTACTTTGTGGAGTCTATAAATCGGCCATATGGTTTTCCGGTAGACATCTGCGAGCCGTCGAAGCAATTCACCAGCTGCAAGGATGGCAATGGACGCGCATTTATGGGAATAGCAGCGGATCATAGGTCGGTGAGAAATTCATGTTCAGCCGGTCGCTCTGGCTGAGTGGTTAGAGGTGCGGGCTACCACTCCGTAGCACCTAAGTTCGATTCTTGGTTCGGCCTACATTTAAATTAGAAAAAGTTTTTTCTAACAGCGGACGCTTTCGACAGGCAATGGCAAGCAAGCTCCCGTAGTGTATTTCCGCATTGAAAAAAGCTTCTTAAAAAACTGAATATTTGCCTAAAATTGTAGGTTCTGCCTTAGCTCTGAGTTTTTAAAGTTTAAAATTACTTTTCTTAAATAATAATTTGCTTCTCAGACCGCTTGTCCGTTTCCGTTTCTCATCCCTTCGTATTGCCTGTTTTCATTCTTAAGTCCTGTCAGCCGTCATTTCACCTAAGGCGCCTTCAGTTGCCTGCCAAATCACTGCTTTGTCCGCACGAAGAATTCCCATGTCAAATTTACTTTCCTTTATTCATTTCATACCTTGCTTACCCATCCTACTAATTTGCCAAGCTCCCCCTCCGTTTCTTAACACACTTCTTCTGTTTAAGACACTACTAATACATTTAATGCTGCTTCTCTCCTTTCCGCTCTTCCCTTTTTAGATTGCGTGGTAAATTCTTTTTAGAAACAAATGATGCGCCACCCTACGGCCGCGATGCCGAACCACCATCAGCTTTGACATTCCCAAGCGGCACAGCAACAATAACATCAGCGGCCGGCACGCTGCCGCTGTTGCCAGCTGTCAAGAAAATTAATGGCACTCGAGGCTATGACGGCAATACCTTGAGGAAAAGAAGGCATACAAAAGCGGCGACGGCAGCGTCGACAAGCATATCAACAGTAGCGAATGCGCAAACAACAAAAACAGTAAAAAGACAAATTGCAACAACAAAGGCGCGTACAATTCATTCAACCAGAACAAAGACAGCGTAGGCGCAGCTGTAGTAGCGAAATAACAGCTGCTGATTTTGGCTCTGACTTGAGCGCAATGTGGGTGGCAACGACAAGGTTGTCTGCTTGTAGACGCAGCTGCTGTCTTCTTGCAGCGCAACAATGTCCAGAAAGTTTTTGGTAGAGATTTGCTTTTGATGCGCGCACAAAGCAGCCAGCTAGCGTAGGAAGGGGCAGGGGCAGGGGCAGTGGCAGCGGCATGAAATCGTTTTACACTTGCAGTCAAAAGGATTCGAGGATTCGAAGGATTTAGCGAATAAGTTGATGCTGCTGTTGGCGAAGTGAATATGTGCGAGCATCAGTGGAAAGGGGTAAGGGCGGCGGGCAGTGATGCAGAAAATATAAATTACAGCGATTTTCAGCAGCACAAATATTTAAGTTAACACTTTTCAATGTTGATGCCAAAAAAGTAGCAAAACTACTTAGTTACTAGGCGAGTATGATGAATGATGATGACAGGCTAGCAAACGAGTAAAATTTAGGATGAATGGCCTTGAAGGTAAATGGTTTTTACTTTGTGAAATCCATTTTGTCGTTGTGTTGCAAGTTTAAATTGCTGTAACGTTGGGGATAGACAAAATTAGATAAGTATGTAGTTGGTAGATAATTTAGTTACAGAAATTTTTCACGGAAAATTCTAGCATAATATATATATATATAAATTTAGTCTATTGATGGATATATTGAATTCGATTAAAAAAACGTATTAGTCATTTATGCATTTAGTTTCAGGAAACTGCGTTTCCAGCACTTTTTTTTATATATAAGTATGAAATTTAGGTCAATGTAGGGTTATGAATACCATAAAACGGTGCGCTTATGAACNCATATATATAAATTTAGTCTATTGATAGATATATTGAATTCGATTTAAAAAACGTATTAGTCATTTATGTATTTAGTTTCAGGAAACTGCGTTTCCAGCACTTTTTTTTATATATAAGTATGAAATTTAGGTCAATGTAGGGTTATGAATACCATAAAACGGTGCGCTTATGAAGTCAATTAATAAATTTATATGCAACATTTTCAAATTTTACCTTTTATTGTACGACCCCGCTGAAAATCTCTACATTTTCTTATTAACCTAGAAAGGAAATTAAATTGGCGACCTAGATAACATCGATGAAAGGGTTCGCAAAGCTACAACTGAGGTATACTGNCTCACTGAATAAATTTATATGCAACATTTTCAAATTATACCTTTTATTGTACGAGTATCTACAACCCCGCTGAAAATCTCTACATTTTCTTATTAACCTAGAAAGGAAATTAAATTGGCGATCTAGATAACATCGATGAAAGGGTTCGCAAAGCTACAACTGAGGTATACTGCGGTATCGGGGTTATTGGCAAAAGCTGGGGTCCGGAGCCCAAAATTGTAACACGGATTTACACCGGACAAAGTTCAACGACTGGCTGCTCTACTGATAACAAGGGCCATGGAGACAACAGCCACCAAAGCGCTCAACACGCTATTAACATTTTTCCAGACGATTCTATATGCAAGAGAGATGGCATGTTATACCGCCATTATGCTTAACGCGACAAAGATATAAACACATTCGCATATCGGTCACTGTAAAATTTTGAACGTCCTTACTTAATTTCCTACAACCGACTACATTCCACCCACCCGCACTTCCAAGATCAGGTTCACAACCCTTCTTCCCTCAAGGTAGGTTTGTCACTGTACACAGTCAATCCATGTTTCCACGGACGGATCGAAGCTCAACAAAAAGAGTCGGTGGTGAAGTTTATTAGGAACACTTAGGCATATCGTTCAGCTTCCGCCTTTCTGACTACTGCAGTGTTTTTCAGGCGGAACTGATGGCTATTTCAAAGGCGGCATCACTAGTACAGTATGATGTCTACATTTGCACTGACTGCCAGGCGGCAATTAAATCTCTGGAAAATATGTTGCTGACTTCAAAAGTAGTTGCTCAATGCCGCCGATCTCTCAAGGAGATGGCTGAGGTATAATTCAGCATACCTGGGTCTGGGTATCTGGCCATTGCGACAATCAGAGAATCTGCACGGCTGACGAGCTCGCGCGTCATGGAACGACATTGCCTCTCGGCATCCCTCTTCAAACTGAATGAAAAATTCATCGCGCATTGTCACATTGCCAAAACACTCTGACCAGCCACATACGCCGAACGCACCAAGTCTCTATTTAATCTAAGGAGTCTACCTCCTATTTCGCATAGTGACTGGAGTTCTCACCGTACATTGTCCGATTGCGTTTACACGCAGCTAGGCTGGGCGCACCCTGCCATTGCCCGGCTCTATCAAAACGCAGAGCAAAAGCTCTTGGGAGCCATTTCTTCAACGATCTAACCTTATTGTTGATCTCTTGTGTGCTTCAGATATCGGAAGATCTGACGACTTCACTAGCTACTCATCTTTAGCCGGTTATAGCGGATCTCTTCACGAGCCGTCCACCCTCTTCATTCGCCATTTGTGGGATCAGTCATAGAAAAGCGCGCCTCAAACGAAGCCGAAAGATAGAACATGAGCTACGACACCCCCGAGCTTTTCTTAAGTCAGAAATGGACTTGGAAGAAAGCTGTAGCACAAGCACCGACTTCCCTGCATCTTCGAGTAGTAAGGTCAACTCACAGCGAACCGAGTCCTTTGAGGTTACGGCGGCTGGACACACGAACGGCTTGATGACTTGCGGTAAGAACAAGATAAAAGCTCCTTTAGAGCGACCAACCAAGTGCGATTTAACGATCGTCGTCCGGCCACTACACTGATTAGCGAGTGTAAGGAGGACTTCGTGAAGGTGCCAATAACGCTGGCTTTTTAACACCGAATCGTTTTGGAAGGTGCGAATAATGAAGCCCAATCTAGCAGATAATAATGCGCTATTAAAATTAAAGGATGCGTAAGTTGTCTGTGACTGATAGCAGATCCATAGAGTTACACATTAAGACATTTCGTTATACTATATATTAAAAAAGGCTTTGTGGCTAAATAAACTCGCAGAAGGGAAAAATTGAAACCAAACAAGCCAACCAAATCATGATGCTCGTAAAATAGTTTAAGGTTTCTACATATCGCTTAACGGAAGTAAATAACTTAAGCAAGAATGCGGTCGAGACAAAAAGAAAAACACGTAAGGACCTTCAATAGAAGCACAAAAACGGAAGCGTCGAAAACTGCTACACGNAACATATCGCTTAACGGAAGTAAATAACTTAAGCAAGAATGCGGTCGAGACAAAAAAAAACACGTCAGGACCTTCAATAGAAGCACAAAAACGGAAGCGTCGAAAACTGCTACACGTGGTAGACATAGCCGCACTTGAGACAACAGAGCAACCCAAGCGCAGAAATGCTATTTACTTCCAAAAAACAATGCGAATAAAAAAGCATTGGAAATAAAAAAGCAAGCTTGTAATTCACATGGATATATGTACACATACATATATACGGGAAAAAAGGTCAGTAGAATAACAGCAAATAGGTGTGTGTGCCTCAATGTCTCCGCTGTCGACCATTTTTGGCTGAAGCAGCTGCCATGCCGTGTCGTTTGGACTTCTATGCAATGTAAGTTTTTCTTTTACGATACTACATGCTTTTGCGCTTTCCGTCGGTCGTGTGCATTTCTGCACGAAATAATTTTCGTAGTTAGTTTTTCGAATGCATTGTTACACGTACTGTAAATCTTAATGGTTTGTTTGCTTAAATATTTTCATGCTTGCGCGTGCGTTTGTGATTCCTACTACGCGTTTGGAGGAAGGTAAATATCTCTTTTGGAGCGCAGATTTTTTGAATAGAATCCAGTAAACAAAATCGATATACGAAAAATTATCGACTTAGATGCGATGTTATCGATAATTATTCCAAATTAATACACATAACGTATATTGACAAATATTTCGATAAAAATGTCGAAAAGAATATAGATAAATACGCCGATAAGTGAAGCGATAAAAAATTTAGGACAAATAATTCGAGCATTAAATTTATCAATAAATATTTTGACAAAATTATCGATAAATATTTCGATACAAATTCTTGTAATCATATCGATAATAATGTCGCAAAGTATAAGCGTTAGAGCGCAGAAGTAAAAATTCTGTGCAAAATTCGATTTAAACAAAAATCCTAAAAGCGAATGATGGCAACTGCATCCTCACATTCAAAAGCCATCACGCTTGGTCGAAAGGTGCAGCCACCAAAATTGGGCTGCAGTACCCTTTCGTTGCTATACAAAACTTCTCGAGTATGACCGCTAGTGTTATCTGCAGCTGACAGTGTTTTCAGATAGTCTTATGGCCAACTATGTAACATCAACGAAGGCATATTTTTTGTTATTAGTACAGTCGGCCCCGTGTGGATCATCTTGTGAATAGGGACTAAAGTGATTAGCAGCACGGAGGTGGTAGAGTTTACTCAGCCATTCCTCTTTTAATCGCCCCCAGGCTGTCTCTTTGAATGGGTAGTAAGGCTTACGTCATGGCCTCTACCTAGCTGACCTTTCCGGATAGAAAGTACTTGAAGAATTTCTTTCCCACTGCAGAAAGTTTGCTTTTAGGAGTATTAGCCGCCTCCGGTTGAGACGAGAGCAGTTGATCCCCTTCGTCCGTGGTTGGCTGTGCGTCATAGCCATTAGGGGCATCTTAAAGTCCAGATCGCCTTAAGGGCCACTTGGTCTGAATACCATTTCGTCGATTGCACTGTTATCAGAATTTGGCTCGAGACATTGGCCGCTTGGATTTGCATGCATTGCTAATTAGAATTCGTCGACCGCTGCCGATAGTAGAGAGAGCAGATTTGTTTTCTTTGTGGTTGTACAATACATAAGTGGCTTTGAAATGAGCCCAATGAGTAGTAGGGGAAGAAAGAGGTCATCCCACGTAGATCCCTGGTATCCCTGAGCTGAAGTACCTGCTAGAAGACACACTAATGTAGTACTAGAAAAAGAAGTCTGATGTGGAGATGAGGTGATCTCCGAAATAGCAGCTATAAGTTCTGCTGCTTAGATTTTGTTGTTGTCCCATTTTTCCTAATAAACATAATCGCGCTACAAAGCTCATTATCAATCTTACTAATATTATAAATGTGAAAGTTTGTATGTTTGGATGTTTGGGAAATCATCACGCGGAAACGACTGAACGGATTTGCATGAAGTTTTGTACGCAGATAGC